TGCTCAAATGTTTCACCAAGTTTGTGTTGTCTCGTGTTGTCTTCCTTTGCAAGGCAGACTTTCTCCTGTCTTTTTTCACATGCACCAGAATGTTGATACAGGTGTTGTCATACACACCACTTGTGAATATGTGCTCCAATAGGAACAAGGAAGGCGTTTGTGTGCATAAATGAATTAAATAGATTAATGAATTGAATCAATTTAAAAAGTACCGGTATTTTCCAAATGCAGTATAGTACCGTTTGGAATACTCTAGTACCGCGGTACTATTTTAGTACCGGTATACCGTGCAACACTACTCCAGACGGTGATTTAGGTGTCCCGAAATGTGCCTTCTTCTTGTACTGCTCATAGTCCCCTCCCCTGGGACCACTTTGCCCTGGGAGACCCTACCAGGGGCTGTTAGCCCTGGACAACGCAGCTCCCAGGGTCACGGGGACATGCTAACCCCTCCACCACATTAAGGTGGCGATATTCATGGAGGGGGTCAGTTGAGGTGGCATCTGATCAGGATCCTCCTGGGCGCCTCTCGTTGGAGGTGTTCCTGGCACATCCCACTGGTAGGAGGCCCAGGGGGCAGACCCAGAACATGCTGGAGGGATTATATATCTCATCTGGCCTGGGAACCCCAGGGTCCTCCTGGAGGAGCTGGAAAGTGTTGCTGAGGAGAGGGACGTCTGGAATAGTTTGCTCAGCCTGCTGCCTCTGAGACCTGCCCTCAGATATGTGGTTGAAAATGGATGAATTTGCATGAAATAATTCAGTGCTCTGTTCCTCATCTTAAATCAGTGTTTGTGATTATAGCGTCTGTGCTGTTCATGTTGTTTATAAAACTTCATGTCGTCTTCTGTGTCCTCAGCACTTGAATTCGTGTGTTGTAGTTCCACTGCAGGTCTCACCAGTTTTTCTGGTCTGTCAAAACCACCTGCTCGACAGCAGCTCTCTCCCAGCAGCAAACAGACTTGACCTCTGACCTCTCAATCATACTTCCCCTCGACTGTAAGTTATATTCTAGTGCTCTTTTGTCAGACGGTCAAACGTACAATTAATACATGGTACAAAGAAACACACTCACATTTTAAAGTTTTTCTTTTGTTTTGCAATATTAGTAAGCTTTGCAAAATTACTTGGAAGTACCTGACAGTTTGTGTCACCTCCCGGCTGAAGGTCATGAGCCAGCGTGTTCAGTGAATACCGTGTGATCAGCAGCCTGTGTCTTTTTCCCCAAAGCAGGGGAGGTGAAGTCATGTTCAGACTCCTCAGTCACCACAGTAAGAGGACGCGGGGCTGCCTCGCAGGCCAGCGCCGCTATGAGCACCACACTGCCATCATGGCCATCCGCCGTGAGGACATCAACCCCTGGGAGAGGAGGGCGCCGCTGGCCCCACGACATGTTAAAGAGCTCACCAATGCAGGCGTCAAGGTTCTGGTCCAGCCATCCAACCGTAGATCGATCCACGAGAAGGTGAGCCACCGAACGATGTCTGAAGTTATATGTGTGGAGGCAGCCCGAGGAACGCGATGAAGAGCTCAAGGCGTCAACCTGGCCTCCTAATTCCCTAGATTCCATAGGTACCTCTGATCCACAGTGGGGCCTCCTTGGATCAGACTTGGCTGACCTGTGGCATCCACCACCAGGGCATTGGCGGCAGGTTCTTTGAGTCCTGTCTGCTGTGAGGTGGGATACCAGCACGTCCCACGTCAGATGGAAATCTGGGGAATTTGGAGGCCAGGTCACCGCTTTGAGCTCTTTGTCACGTTCCTCTGGTCATTCCTGAGCAGGTTTAGTGGTGTGACATGTTGCACTGTCCTGCCGCCATAGGACAGTGCTGTCACCATGAGGGAGGGGGGGTACTTGGTCTGTAACGGTGCATGTCAGGTGCCATCACATGAATGCCAGGACCAAAGGTTTCCCAGCAGAACACTGTAATGAGATGGTCGATGTTCTTCACTTCACCTGTCAGTGGATTTAATGATGTGGTTGATTGGACGTTATACATAACACTAATGCATGTATTTATTATTTATTTACACACGCATACACCTGTACTTATATTATAAATAATATACAAATCATGGCTGCCGGAGTTGAAGTGGTGGATTTCTGAAAAATAATTCAGACTTAATTAATTTTGCACAGTCTATTGGTTCATATAGAACTGAACCAATAGACTGTGACGTCTTAGCTCGTCTCTTGTGTTGCTGTAATGTGTAAATTTCCTGTCGCGGATCAATAAAAGCTTATCTTATCTCTCCTTTGGTTTATTGGATGTGTTAGTTACTACTGGGAGTAATGAAAGACTTCACACAGGTAATAAAGCTGTAAAAGAAATGTGAGTGCTTCGGCCAACAGGCTGTGCTTTGTTTTCAGTACTACGAGAGGGCCGGGGCCATCATCCAGGAGGACCTCTCGGAGGCGTCTCTGATAATCGGGGTGAAGAGGCCGCCGGAGGAGAAGGTCATTCCCAGGAAGACATACGCTTTCTTCTCCCACACCATCAAAGCTCAGGAGGCCAACATGGGTCTCCTGGAGGACCTGCTGAAGAAGGTGAGAGCGCTCAAAAGATGAAACACTTTCTGCAGTGGTCCTGACCCAGTACAGTTACACTCATGATATAAAGGTCTCTGTGTGCTAATGTTAGCAGTGAACTATTTTTGCAGTTAGTGTTGAAGAAACTGACTTTTGTAGCTGAATTTAGAAAACTGTTGCCAATTCTATGTTTGTGAAAATACAAAGTAAATGTGCTGTGTAGGATTCATTTTTAAAGGTTTACTTTCCAGTCTGTCACATGAGCTGTTGCACTGTGGGACACTTAGGGGCCGTACACATGCCGCGGTTTTTTGCGTCCTCAAATTAATTGTTTTCAATGTAGATGTGTGACAGGTGCACTCAAATGCCAGAGCGACGCCGTCATGTTTGTCGTCGACCAATGAAGATGAGTTTACATTAGGGCTGTCAAAATTGCTCAAAAATGACGTTCGAATATTCCTTCTAAAAATAACTCATAGGTTCGAACCATTCGAATATTTTTGTTTCCGCATTATGTCCACAAGAGGGTAAACTAATACAAGGAAACATACATGTATATGTATTAATACAAGGAAACATACGTGTATATGTATTAATACAAGGAAACATAACTACTTGTAGGTATTTCTATTTCAACATAAAGGTCTTTGAAAACATTTACATATCTACACATTAAAACACATAAAACAATTATCTATAACACTACGTTATAAACGACCGCGGACCTCTCGCTCGCCCCCCCTCTCTGACCCGTGGCCACACCGCCTGCGGAAGCTCTTCGAATAGCCTCGAAGCACCGGACCGTGACCGGCTCGCACCCTGCAGCGATTGTTTCGGCGTCTGGTCTATTTTCTGCGCGAGCCGCGAGCGAATGTGTCAAGCCGGGTGACGGAGACAACAGCTGGGAGCAGAACCGCTTGTCGACCAGCGTGGAGAAATGCGCGTCTGATGCCAACGCCTGCTCGCAAAGAGGACAGCTGCGGGGGTGTTTTTTTTTTTTCTTCACAATCGAATATCAATTTAGAATATTCGTTGACAGCCCTAGTTTACATATCACCTTGGGGTCGTCCTTCACCTTCTCAAAATGATCCCACACTTTGGATTTCCTGCCCGACATGTTATTAACTAGCCTGTGGAATAACCGCAGGTACCAGCCCTGGAAATTAACCTGACTCCTGTCTGACTGCCGAGCTTGGACACTTCCTGTGTCTGTCCTTCCAAAGTAAATTCACACATGGTCCAGTCATATAGGGTTGGATTTATTTTGACGAGTCGCAGCTCCTGATAGAGTTTCACGTTTCCCTTTTTTCCCCTTTTTCTGCTACTAAGCGACCACTGAAATCTTGCCGACTAATGACCTTTCTGGTCGACTAATGTTTGATCGACTGTTAGGGGAGCAGCCCTAGAGAGCAGTTTTATCTTCTGCACTGGAGCTGATGCTGCAGAATGTGATATATCAGGTATTTCAACATTCTTCTGTCGTCCTTGTTGTATCTGCAGCCGCATTCTCCTCTGCATGGTACAGCATGTCTCTACTTGCCTCTTCTTTTGCAGTTCACGTGCAAAGCGTTTGGTTGCTGATGAAAGGATTGAGCGAGTGTCTCATTTAAGATGATGTCACAGCAGTTTCATGCAGTGTTGATATGTTGATCAGCTAAGAATCATGCCTACACTTAGGGGGTGCCCGCCGCAGCTAAAATAAAACCAAATAGAGTGAAGGACCTGGTACCAACAGTGAGTTGAGCGTTGATCTGAACCGTGCAGTGGGAATGAGGCATCTGTGTGTTTGTCTTTCTGTCAACAAAACTCCTCAAAATCTGTAATGAAATGACTTTTGTCTCCTCAGGAGGTTCGTCTGATCGACTACGAGAAGATGGTCGATGCTAATGGCTTCCGGATTGTTGCGTTTGGTCAGTGGGCCGGTCTCGCAGGTATGAAAACCTCCTCAAAAACAAACAAATGACGGTTAGTTTATGCAATGTACCTCAGCTGGTTAGTGTTTTCTTTGGACTGTTGTGACAGCGTTTGGCAGCAGGACCTGTTGTGAAACTAATGAAACAGTGAAGATCAGTATCTGACTGTAACCAGTTCAACCAACAGAGACGTGTTCTCTGTTTAAACATTTCTGTTTGAATCATCTGGACCTTCACCATGTCATCAGTCAGAGCTGAAGCTGTTGAGTCAGACTTGTGTTAACACGGTGACGCTGATTCAAAATCAGTTCATCTCTGTGCTCTGATCTACTTTCACCTGTTTAAAGGGAAAGTAAATACAAATGTTCCCAAAAACATTTTGTCTGTGGTGCTAGAGCTCATAAAATGAACGAAATGGTCAACAACAGGGTCTTAACAGCCACCAGTTCCTGTATCTGGATATTTAATCTGGATCAGGAAACTCTATTAACTCATCTGAACACCAGAGTGATTCTGGATTATGCCGACCAGACTGCAGAGTGTCTCTGTGTGATTCTTACCAAAGTCCACACCCACACACCTCACCTCTGCTCTAACTGCAGCTGGTGTTTCAAAACATTGTGGCTTGTGGTTGCACCAACTGTGGGTGGCTCCACTTGGTGATTGGCTCCTGGTCCATGTGACCAACAGGTGTTAACAGAAGATTATTCTCAGGAACACAAACTTGATATCATTAACTGCTTCTTCTCAGTGTGTAACAGTTTGCTGCAGACCACCATGAGTTTTGTTAGATTAACGGTGCTTTCAGACCTAGAGTTGCTTGCTTTGGTTCAAGTGACGGACTAATTTTGTCACAGAGTTGCATAAATGCCTAGAGTTGGTTCAAGGATGCCCATGTATGCACACAAGGTGGGAGTGTACAGGTGACATAAAACATGTTTCTGTTTGTGGATTTATGTTGTTCTAGGGACAGCTGAGCCCCGTTTTCACCGAGCAGTCTGGATCAGTTCGGTTCATTTTTCTCTGTTTCCACTGTGAAAAGTTGTGGATGTTACTAATTGAACCGTTCCGTATCGTCCCCATCTTTGGTCCAAGTAACCACTGTTGATACTGTGGAGAGTTTTATTAGTAAACTGTAACTATAAAATGAAAGGATGTTTTGCTGCCTCTCACAGCAGCTGGAGTCTGAGAAAAAATAACTTCATTCACTGGGCCGACTGCCGGCAACTTTTAAGGTGGAACGTTAACTTGTAATGTTACTCAATGCATGAGTTGATGACGTGAATCCATCAGCACACCTTAAATTTCACTGTGACAACTTTGACCATCACTTTAGTTTTTATATGACACACACTTTTAGTGATGACTTTAAAAATATAGATTAATTTGGAGCGGATTATGTGAAGGTCATATATTCTAATCCTCACTTCCTGTGGGCTACAGCAACACTAAACCCCTGAGCTTGCCTGAGAAGGACTAAATGCACAAAGCTGCTATTTTTAAATATCCCATGGAGAGAGACTCTCACTGCAGCCTGTTCTATTTTGTTGTGAAAATGTGGGCGTGCAGCCTCGTTCTGTGGACGATAAACCAGGTGCAGACTTCCATCTGTGTCACCGCTGATGAGGAAATACAGTGATAGAGTACTGTTTGTGGTGGAAATGTTAGGGTCTAGGTACCATGTCTGAAGGGTTACTGTTGGTTCCAAAGGTACTGTACTGAAAGTGTTTGGTGGAAACAGGGCCCTAGTGGCAGCAATGCACAGAGAAACAGCAATGGGCTGCCAATCGATAGTGAAGAACAAGACTGCTTGTAGATGTTAATAAAACATGTTTCAAATTATTTGAAAAATGTCTTTGTAAAAGTTTTGTGGGGAAAGAGAGAGAATTAATATTGTTTGTTTGGTCTTAGAACACACAATGTGTTTTAAAGACTGTAGACATTTGTAGATAAGGAAATAGCCCAGGGCAGCGTAAATGTCACCGATCATAAACCTGTTCAACTTATTTTTGCATGAATCCAGGAACACTTTGATAAACGGGGCCTCAGGCAAAAGCAAGTAAATCATGTCAGAGTAATGTTTAATCAGAGTGAATCTTTGTTGTAGGAATGATTAACATCTTGCATGGGTTGGGGCTGCGCTTCCTGGCTCTCGGGCATCACACTCCCTTCATGGTAAGAAAACATTCCTCAGGAATTTCTAACCAAAAATATAGACTTTGTCCTCATAATGTGATTGTAATTCTTACCCTGTCACTTCCTGTCTCCCTGCTGTTCACAGCACATTGGCATGGCTCACAACTACAGGAACGTCAGCCAGGCCATCCAGGCAGTTAGGGATTGTGGGTATGAGATTTCCACGGGGCTCATGCCCAAATCTATCGGTCCAGTGACATTTTGTTTCACCGGCACGGGCAACGTCTCCAAGGTACAGCAAGGTTAAAGGGATAGTTCAGATTTTTTGAAGTGGGTTTGTTTGAGGTACTTATTCATAGTCAGTGTGTTACACACAGTAGATGTCTGTCAGTATGCTGCCAGTTTGAAGAAGCAGGCAGGAGTGCTGAAACAGAGGCAAAGCAATGCACTGCTGTGTCGCGTACTGAGTCTATTACACAGATGATCTTACACACACAGTGACTATTCCTGAGACAAGCAGTCTGTTGGCCATCAATACACATAACGATGGACAGAAGAACGAACAACAGACAGAGACCAGCTGGTGATGCTGCGGGCCGTCGTGGACCTCCACAACATCACTACCACCAGCAGAGAGCCAAGTACAGAGTGTGTACCAGGAGAAGGAAGCCCAGATGGAAAAGAAAATACATCAGATGGGCACTGACCTCCTGAAAATCCACGAGGATCAACAGGGTCTCCTTCTGACGCTGGCAGACGCACACACAGCGATGACCAGCAAAGATGCTGCTCTCCAGCAGAACGAGGAAGCCTGGCAGGCTAAATATGAGGCTCTGAGTGAGAAACTCACAATGGACATGGAAGAAAAAGACAAGAAATGGGAGACACAGGTGAATGAATTCACCATCAAGGTCTCTCTGATGGAAGAGCAAATCCATCAGAGAGACCTTGAGATCCTGCGTCTCACCGAGGACAACAACTGTCTCATTGAAAAACCCGCAGAGACAACGCAAGAGCTGACCTCTAGAGCTACTGAACTCCTCCAGAGCCAGACAGCCTGGGAGGAGAAACTCCAGACTCTGATGGACAACTTCTACAAAGAGGTTGAAGAAAGTCAACAGAGCTGGGAGTCACAGCAGACTCAATTAAGGGTCAAATTTGAGGCAGAAATCAGGCAGAGAGACGTTGAGATCCTCTGTCTCACCGAAGACATCGGTAGCCTCATTCAAAAGCTGTCTGAGACAGCAGAAGAGCTGAACGGTAAAAATGCCCAACTCCTCCAGAGCCAGATATCCTGGCAGGATAAGAACACCGCTCTGGAGAACATCACAAAGCACCTGGCTGAGAAACAGCAGAGCTGGGAAAGAGAGGTGGCACAGCTGATCGCCGACAAGGCAGAACTGGAGGACCTCTGCTTGTTTATTTAACAATAAGAGGAAACGCTTCTTGTTGTTTCCAAGGAGGTCTTCTGACGACAGAGAGACCCAGCTGCAACAACTGAAAACCAAAATGCAGCAGAAGGCAGCAAAAGCAAGAGGAGCTGAGAAGATGGAGGAAGAAATGGAGGTTGCTGATTGTTCCGCTCTGGCTGGGCATCAGTAGCTCCCATAGCTTCTTACATTTGTGTGGGGTTTTCTCCTGGTGCTCAGGTTCACCCGTCAGTGTCAGTCACATTTAAAAAAAAATGCTCTAGAAGGAAGAACAAACTAGAGCAGACGAGAAGGAGGAGGTAGAGGATGTGTGTAGATGTCTGTGTCTCAGTCATCCAGGTCATGGTACTCATAAGTGCTATATCGTAGGCAAATCCATTTGCCTACGATATAGCACTGACAGCTTCTGTAGATTATTATTATCTACTCAAGGGTTTTCTCCTGGTGCTCAGGTTTTCCCGTCAATTCCAATCACATTTGATTATACCATCATTGGTCATAATAAAATAACATCAAATTGGAGTTCAATGTTTCTGTGTCTTTGAATGAAAACAAACTGCATAAATACAGTGTTATGACATTATGGAAGGTAAAAGGTGTAAGAACTGGTATCTGTTGAAGTTATGGTTTAAACACCTCTGAAACTGATCAATGAAACTGATCGGTGTTTCAGAGAAGGTTTCATTCCCCTTGTGTTTTATTGTGCAGCACTTTGTAACTGTGTTTGGAAAGGTGCAATATCTATAGAGTTTATTATTACTATATTTCTAAGAAAAATGATGACTTTAAAAATGGACCTTTATCTAACTATAAGGGGCCGTACACATGCCGCGTCTTTAACCACCTGGAAAACACCAGGTCAGACGCTACTCTTGTATATCTATATATATACTTTTAATAGGTCATAGGATGTTGAAAAAAGTTAAGACAAATCTTCCTTATTTAAAGTAGGATGTCACATACGGTACATACAGTAATCGTGTGAAATCTGTCTCACTGGCTAAATAAACACACTGCTTTCTCCACTGTTAAGTGTACGCTATATTGAGAGTATTTTCACTGCTTTACCTTACTGTCAGATGGGGAAGCCCTAAACAGCTTCAGTTCTACAGTACATCTATGCTTTCTTCATGCCCACCAGACTCCATTGACAAAAACAGTAATTTTAGCTTGCTCGATACAGCAGCTGCTGGTCTACTGCTGCTGTGATCAGTTAGCTAGTTTGTGTTATTGTTTGACTTTGGTGAATCCAGACTAACCCTTTTAAACACTAAAGTCACACAATGACACAAACAAGCTAACTGATCATAGCAGCAGTCGACCAGCAGCTCCTGTGATCAGTGATTTTAAATCACTGTTTTTCTCAATGGAGTCTGGCTTGGAGGAGAGTGATATAACAGCTTCAGTTCCCCGTCGGAAATCACTGTCTGAAGTCCCTGTCTGATGGTAGAGTAAAGCAGAGAAAATACCATCAATATAGCGTACACTTCAACTGATACTGATTATTTTTGGTGGCTAAAATACCTTTAATTACTTACCCATCCACCATAGCACTTGGCTGAGCTTCTGTTTCAGTACTCCTGCCTGCTTCTTCAAGCTGGAGGCTCGCTGACCACCATCTACTGTAGGTAATACACTGACTCTGGATAAGTAGCTTATATAACCCCACTTCAAAAGATCGAAACTATCCATTTAAACCCAAAACAAAACACTCAGTGTTTTCAGAAATCCTCATTCTCCTCATTTCTTCCTGCAGGGAGCCCAAGACATCCTGAACGAGCTTCCTGTTGAATACGTTGAACCTCACGAGTTAAAGGAGGTCTCTCAAACAGGAGGTAGGAAACTCCTGTGTTTGTCTTTGTGCTTGTTTTAACGTGATGTGACGTGCGTCGTGTTCAACATACTGGTGGCTGATCACAGTGAGGGGTGGGACATTCAGTGTTCATTCACTGCATGCTGGGAGTTAATGGATGAGGCAACACAGCGAGTGCTGCAGAGCTGCAGAGGGACATTACATGTAAAAACATCGAAGGTCACATTTGTGTCCTGTATCATATCTTGTACAGATGTGTGTGTGTGTGATCTGCTTGCTGTGTAACTGTAGCAACCGCACAAGAAAATAACAAACAGGAAAATGATGCAGGAGCTGATTTCGCCTCTTCAGAGAACAAATGGATCAATTGACAAAACCATCAGCCTCAAAGTTTGATTATCTGCAGCCATAACTAAGATGTTTATGATCTGAATAAAGTGAACTTTGTGAGTTTAGAGCAGACGAACAGCAGCTGCCTGTAGTGTGTGATAAATGTTGTTAGGTGGATCAGATGTAAGCAGGGGTGGAAAAAGTACTGAGACCCTTCAAGTAAAAACCCTGCTTTTGATTGCTCCTGATTCTCATCCCTGAGATGGACAGACCTGTAACGCCTCCCTGAGAGGAACACCTGACAAACAGGATGTGCTTGTTATTGAGTGTGCCTGTTATTAGGATCAGCGTGCATGTTGTATGATAGTGTAAGAAGTGCACACATGATCATTAACAGTATGCTGTTGTTTTCTTGTCAGATATGACCAAAGTCTACGCCACCGTCCTGAGCCGACATCACCACCTGGTGAGGAAGAGCGACGGCTTTTATGACCCCATGGAGTACGAGGACCACCCGGAACTTTACACCTCACACTTCAGGACCAGCGTGAGTCCACCAGCTTCTAACCCACCACCCCACCACCAGTTACAAAACTTCCACCTGCTCCTGTTAGTCACTGAGAGGCCTCGTCCTCTATTTCAGTCGTCAGCAGTAAACAGCTGCTGGTTGTGTTGGTGTTTCAGCAGGTGCCACGTGGCACCATTCACACAGCTGTGACTTTCATCACAGTCTGGCTCAGATGACCTTGCAGAGAATGAACCAATACATCTATCTGATCAATAATCCTTCACATAACAACATGGAGAATAGTCAGCAATGAAAAAATACTTTTATTATTTAATGATTTTTGTTGCAACTGACAATCATTTATGTTATCGAACAGTGTGCTGATTATTTTCTATGAATGATGAATCATTTGGTTTATAAAGTGGGTGGGTTTTGTTTCTATGACAACAGTTTCTTGACATGAACTTTGTAGCTAACATAACACTACATTAAGAGTGCTTTCACACCTGTTTGGTCCAGTTCAGTCAAACTCAAGTTCATTTGCCCCCTCAGTGCGGTTCGTTTGTGCAGGTGTGAACACAGCAATCACAGACTGAGACCTTCTTGAAGAGGTGGTCTCAGTCAGGTTCCAAAGGAACTCTGGTGCGGTTGGTTTGTGGTGAGAAGGTGTTCCGACCTGGATGTGAAGCAACTGCAGTCACATGACACATTGTTTGGGTTAAACATGAGCATGTTACAGTCCTGGAGGATTATTAATGTGCACCTCCTCCTGTACTGCCTTAATATGCACATTCAGCACATCCAATGCATCAAAACATTGTTTTCTAGTTGGAGCCGCGCCTCGTTTTCAAACTGTATG